ATATTATCTTTGCGTAAGCTACAATTATATGAAAGTACTTATAAATATGAAATACTTAATTAACATATGTATTAGCAATTAGCAATGCAAACATTGTGCAGCTTAAAGATGACCCATCATTGCATCGAGAGAACTTCATATTACAGAGCGCATTCACATAGAAACCATACACATTACGCTAGATATTGTAATATTTGTGTATTTTGTGTATATTGCAAAATTCTGTTGCGAATTAAATATTTAAGTTTTCATATATCCATATAAGTAACTGCGTGTTTTATTTTTGAATTATAGAAGTCAAGATATCATACGACTTAAGGACAATTTTGATAATTATTATAATTTCCCCGTAAGCATCGTACACCTCTAAGGGACGCTAGCATATCTTAGCTTTGATTTCCCATAATGCATTTATGCCCATTTAAACGGGGCATTCGGGATATAATGGTTTTGTAGGCGTGGCAGGGTATATTCTTCTTCAGACGACGAACTAAGTCGGCATATGGTTTGTTCGTATATATGTCTGTCCCTTTGTACAAGTACCCATTTGTCTATCCATCGAATATCTCTCGGTCCATTTGTCCCTTCATCTGTATGAGTGGAGAAATTTTGTAAATCGTCCTGTAAAAGCCACAATGTTGAAATTTACGTAGAAGAAATTCATAATATATTTCGATACTTAACCCATTTCTCGATTATCGAAAAGAATGATTTGACTTCGTGCTTTCTTAGCATACCTTGAATACCAATCCACCAAAAGATGGTAACGTCCAATTATCTGTAGGGTTTCCTGTAATGAACACAAAGGGTTTACTGTAGTTCATGTAGTTTCGGGCATTTCCTAGCTAAGCAGGCTCGACTAAAGAAGTTTTACGGGATTTATTAGACACATCCCAACCATTTCAGATTGAATTGAATGGAATTAGAGGACTACTAACGACATACAGCAATCATTAAACTTCAAAATGTGTAGACAAAAGAAGAGTACTGTAAAATATGTGTATTGGGATTATTTTGTGAGCAACTCAATACAAATAGCAAAGTCTCCCATAATTTGGCTGACATCAAATTGATTGGGAACTGTTGGAGCACTCACCCCGAAACGCTGATAGTTTCTGTTGCTCTTCGTCTGACCGGGGAACTGTCTAACCGTAATTGTCAAGTGCTGCAATTGATCTGCCAAGTGATTAATTATTTGGACGAGATCTTTGTAGGCGCAGCTCCAGTGGCGGCGCGCTTCGTCGTTGACTTTGGCTTCGACTTGGATTTCTGGCCTGTTTTCTTCGATATGGGCCGCATCCCGGCCGACGTTCCCGAGGGCAGCAGCAGCTTGGATGTCGTCTTGGTCGCTGCCGAGGGCAATGCACCGCCCGCCAGTCGGTGACCATTATTTTTAGACTTACTTGTACTTTTATTGCGGCAACAGTTTCCGCCTTCACCAGCGCCAGCCAATGAGGTGGGCTCTCGGCTTTGATTCGGTGCCTTTGGCAGCTCAACGGGTGTTATCGGAGTAAAGTTCCTTAGGGACTCCTTGCTGGGCGTTTTGGACCAGCGTTCACTGTTGAGCATACGGAAAGGAAATCGTATAGGATATAGGGATTTGCCATGGCTATCCATGTACTCACTCGGGCATTCCTCCGGGTGGTATGACCACATCCAGGACATTATCGATCAGGCGCGTCTTCAGTGTGCAATCGTTCTTCGTGGTCGAGTGAATGGATGGCGATGTATTGATCTCGATAAGCCACGGCTTCAGATTGTTATCGATAATAATATCATAGCCATACACCTCAAAGCAATGCCGATCGTTGGCCATCACCGGGGCCACAGCGTCTAGAGAATGTCGTATCGTCTCCAATATGCGGGAAGATAGTGTCTTCGATACGCCCTCGCCACGTATGCTGTCCAAATAGAGCCAGAGATTCTGCATGGACCATTTGCCGCCATGTATCGAATTGTATTCCTTCTGCAGGATATAGATGGGGATGAGGATTATGATGATGGTAATAATGATGATCATTAAACAGAGGTGATGAATGTGATTTACATTATTCTTTTGTATGCTAACATTCGTGAGATGCATGTACACATTATCGATCTCGGTCTGATCGTATCTCTGGGTACAGAAGCGACAGAAGCCCTCGTTATACAGATAAGCCTTGATCGGATTGAAGGAGGTGACCAGCACGTACAGTCGCAGATCAAACTTTTTGCCACCAATGAGTAGAGGATTGTCAATGTACTTGGAGATGACGCAGGTGTCGCGATGAAAGTGGGGATAGAATGTGCGAGCCTCATAGGCGAACCGCTTGAGCTTGGACAGTTTGTTGATCAGATAGATGCCAACACCTTGTGACTTATCCGATGGCTTCACAATCCAGGTGCTCGCCGGATTCTTATGGAATTGTTCGACGAACAAATTGTAATCGGCGGGCAGTACAAATGTCATCGGTATTATATCTAGGTGCATATAGCGTGTGCCGCCCACACCCAATTTCGTATCATTCGGATGCGTTGCGGCCAATGCGTCTCCCTTGCGCTCCAAGTCCTTGCGATAACGCTTAATGTTCTTTATCAGCAGATCCTTTCGCGACAGTTCCATCGAGTTGGGGAAGTGATTGATTATTCTGCAAAAGTATTAGATGTATCAGATCGTATATGAAAATCTCTTACCACAACTAGATCGCTATACGAGTAACTATGTCTATATGTGTATAGCTCTTTACCTCTCTGTTTCTGTACCACTCTATATAGATCTGCATGCATACTTACTGATCGGATCGCATGCGATAGGGATGATCGACCCCAAAGATGTAACGACAGTTCTGCGCGCACGCCCAGTACAGATTCCACTCGCCGTCGAAGGCGGGCACCTTGTGCCAGCCCCTCTTCTGAAAGTTGTTGATCAGCGCCGTCTTATCGCAGTCAGTGCTATAGTAGATGCAGCTGCGTTCTTTACGCGGCCAAGGCCTCTCCCTGGACACCAGCCCGAAGATATGTAGCGGCAGTGGTAGCGTCGTCTTGCTGCTGCTTTTGCTCACGCATGGCCTCACGTCTCTGCTGCTCTTCTTTTTCTTTAATCGACTTTTCATTCTGGCAACTGCAACGCCAACAACAAGGTTACATACAATTTAGAATTTTGTGTTCACTGAACGTGTCCAGAATGGCGCTAGACGGTTATCTACTATAATACTGGGAATTTTTAATACTTATATTCTTAATAGAGCTCGTGCTCTATGTGAAAATTTTATGGAATATCTAGAATTAAATATAAACTCAGCCAACTCGCTTTCCTTCTAAACAAAGGAACAGCCTGCTGTTTGTGTAACTTTTAGATTAATCAAATCAGAGCAATCGAAGCTGTGGAAGGGCAGAGAATGATGGTGAGAAGAGAGAGTATAAAGAGATTGAGAAAGAAAAAAATGAAAAAGAGGCAGGGGCATCAAATGAGAAATAGGAAGAGAAAGACAATGAGAATGAGCATGAGAAAAGGAAACACAAAATGATAAAGAGGAGGCGAAAAAATAGAAGAAGGGATAGAGGAATTCTGAGACAGGAAGGCAGAAGAGAGAAGGGAGATAGAGAGAGAGACGCAGATTGAGCGAGGTTGAGAAAAAAAGATAATAAAAAAGATGGCGTTAGAGAGAGAGACAAAAGAAAAGATAAAAGAGAATGTGAAAGAGACATAAAGAGAGAGAGAGAGATAGAGAGAGAGAGAGAGAGAGAGAGAGAGATAGTGAGAGGGAGACTAGAATAAACTGAGAGAGACCGAGAAAAAGAAAGGGACAGAGCTGAGAATCTAAGTTCATAATTATTGGACTATATAAATACACCTCAGCTCAAGATCAAATGCAGATCAAAGGATTGAAATTTGAAGCAATTACTAAATTATTTTCTTACACTGAAGATTCAGTAGACTTTCGTATTCCAAGTATTCCCAGTATTTCTTGCCCCAAACAAAGAGAGATGGAAATAAAATGTTGGCCAATCAGAGGGCAAGCGAAATTGGGAGGGAAATTCTAATTAGCGTTCTGATTGGACCAATTTGCGGCGAGTGGTTCCCACTGGATGAGAGCTTTTCTCGCCACAAAATAGAACTGATGTTTGCCTCAGTGAGCCGTGTGTACCCAACAGATTGGATAACAATGAGCCACTTTATATAGATGCTGGGCAGCGGTGCATACACTCGCATTGTCAATGCCGAGCAGCTGTGCAAAGCCACACACAAATGTGATTCGTATGTGTCCGGCTGATCAAGCTGTTGCCTGATCGCTGCTGATTAGATCACATTATGCAGGCGGCTATTGAAAGCGAAAGTGTTAATGTCACCTTAACGCCCAATAGCAATTACAATAGTCACATTCTCCTTCCCCCACCCTCCCTGCTTTGTCAAAAAAAGATGAGACAATTCACAGGTAATTTTGTTGGTTTTTCGTATTCCGGATATCGTTGGGTTTCTTTGGTGGGTTCTAAGGGTGATCACCGCACAGCAGTTAACCAGAGCTAAGCAAATAGACTTTGACATGTTTGCAGCGTTGCGTGCGGAGGTCTACCTGGTTAGTTGGTTGCTCATTCGCGCAATTCACACGTTTGACCAATGCCCGCCAAAGGGCAACCGGGCAACCGGGGTGCCACAACAATAACCGGCCATTGTCCGCCCTCCACTCGCAGCTGGCTATAAATGCCCGCTGGCGGTCAACAAAGTTCAACAGTCAGCCAGCACAAGGTGTCCAGTCGAGAGCACGGATTGAATAGCAGCTGCCAAGCAACACAGAGACCCAAAAACTTAAACACGAAGGAAAACTGTTTGTGGATAGATAAACCCAGGCCCAACTCATCAACATGAAGATCTATGCTCTAGCATTGCCCGCTCTACTGCTACTGGCGCTGGCAGCACCTGGCGAGGCCACCTTTGGCAAGCTGGGCCTGGTGGTGGGCGGCACTGGCGGCGGCTATGGCGCAGCCTATCCATATTCAGCCGGTGGCTATGGTGGTGGCTACGGCGGCGGATACGGCGGTGGCTACGGCGGCGGCTATGGCTACGGCAACGAGAACATAGTCAAGGTGATCAAGGTATCGGTGCTGCCCAGCGGAGGATATGGCGGCGGCTATAGCGGTGGCTATGGAGGCGGCTATGCCAGCGGTGGCTTCGTTGGCGCCGCTCCGGTCATATCCACCTCGGCCGTTGTCACGCCCGTGGTGACGTCGGTGGCAACACCTGTTATAGCCGGCGGCATTGGCGGTGGCTATGGAGGCGGCATTGGCGGCATTGGCGGCGGTTATGGCGGCTATGGTGGCTATGGCGGCTACGCAGGTGGTGCAGCACTGCCCATTTCATATGGCATTGGCAATGGCTACGGCGTCGGCGGAGGCTTTGGACTGGGCTTCGGCGCGCCCGCCGCCCTGGGCGGTGGCGGTTGGTGCTAGGCGATGATTACTGTAGCAACTGAGAGCGACTTGTTCATACATATAACACATACGAATATTCCTAAATAAATGTCTCCTTTTTTTTGTAAACAATTAATAAACAAAACGTAAATTATGAATAAATAAATTGTTTAATTGGAAATCCCAAAGAATTATCAAAAGGAAAATCTCTCCCTAGCTCAAAGCTCAACGTGAATTTGGTTCAGTAATCATGAATTTTCTGGCATTTGTGCAATGAGTGTCGTAATTTGTCGATTACCAAATTCGTGGGCCAACAATTGCCACACGAGCCGAAGATGTGCGTTGACCTTCAAATGGGTCTGGGTAGGGAAACGAAATTGAAATTGAAATTGAGAGTAGTTGAGCCCGGCCAGTGCACAGCCTCGCAATCCGTGTGGACAGATCCACTTAGCTCGCCACAGTCACAAATGGTAATGAAGTGCCAAACGAGCGGGGCCAAACCCAAACTTCAAGCCAAACAGTGGCCCAAGAATATGGTGATGGCACGCCACTTGGCTACAAATTGCCGCCACTCGAAACGGCCCAAAAGCTCGAGGTCTGGCCAATGTGTAAATTGGCTATGATTTCATATTTGCCAAGTTCAAAAAACAAGAAAAAAAAAAAGAGAAAAAAAGAGAGAGAGAAAAAAAAAAAACAAAATAAAGAAAGAAAAGAAAAAATAAATCACAAGTCAAACAACAAGCAAACACTTTTAAATAGTTGAAGTAATTTATATGCAACGGGGCAGAGCGAGCTTTCTTTTGTCTATATAGAGAGATAAAGAACAGCTATATGCCTAAGGCCTAAGCTCATCTATTCATCTAACCAAGCATGATTTATGTAATCCAGCCGTGTTCAGGAAAATAGTAGGGCGACTGGCTTCAAGCGTCAAGCAATCAAATTTAGTGATAGACAGAATATTTTTAAGCGAATATTAAATTTAACATATAATCAATTTCTGTTATTTATTTCTGTACTTTTTTTTCAAAATTTTGGAGCATTCGCTTTTTGCTTCTTTGTAAGGAAAAACTAAAAGAATTTTGTTGTTCATAAAGCGAGCAAAAAGTGGCAAAAATCTTTTTGTCACTAGTCTGACCTCATATATTATAATTGACATATATTTCTTGGTGTAATACTAAGTTGTGTACGTTTTTGTTTTTTTTTTCGTTTTTTTTTTTTTTTTTTTTTTTTTTTTTTTTTTTTT